AATAATCCCATTTCACGACTCGTACTTTTCAGCGGCCTGAAAACTAAGCAAAAGCGATGGCTCACGCTAAACTTATAGCTCACCCTGTGTCGACAACCCACAAACAACTTTGATATTTAACTTAAAAAAGTGTACTGCTAATATATCGCCACCTCGCGCTGTGTTGATAACCCAGAGACGACTCTGCAACCTATGCAGGAAAAAGTTCGTTGATAACCTAGAAACAATTTTGTGACTTACGTTGGAAAAAAGGGACTTTAACAACAGCTCACGCTTTAGGCAACCCATGGACAACTTTCAGATCTAGGTTGCAAAAAGTAGACTGCCATTACGAGGCCAAACTGTGTATTTTGTGCACTGTAAGCGAATTCCGCAACAAGGACGCGCTCTTTTGTTCTTCTTTCGGTCTCAAATTTTCTTGGATCGTTCCGACAAAGTTTCAACATGATTAAAGATTTGTCCTAAGTGGAACATACAGACACAAAATCGTGCGCCTATCCAGTGCACAGTTTGGCCTCGTATTGGCTAAATGATACCAGCTCACGCTGTGTTGATAACTTTTAGACAATTTAGAGACTTGCACCCAATACTGGACTGCTAATTTAACGCCAGCTCATGCTATGTTGATAACCCATAGACAACTTTGAGACTTGTGTTGAAAAAAGTAATATAAAAAAGCTTATATAAAAAAAAATATTGCTTGAATGTTCAATCCAAAGAAAATCCAAAGAGTTTTCATACAGACACATACAGACACAAAATCGTGCGCCTATCCAGTGCACAGTTTGGCCTCGTAATGGCTAATATGATACCAGCTCACGCTGTGTTGATAACCTTTAGACAATTTAGAGACTTGCACCCAATACTGGACTGCTAATTTAACGCCAGCTCATGCTATGTTGATAACCCATAGACAACTTTGAGACTTGTGTTGAAAAAAGTAATATAAAAAAGCTTATATAAAAAAATATTGCTTGAATGTTCAATCCAAAGAAAATCCAAAGAGTTTTCATTAATATTAATACTACTTATTAAAATTCTTTATCAATCGGCCAAAATTTTTTTATTTCAGAAGCAAATCATTTTAATCTTATTTTTGGATAGTTACAAAAATGTGTACATAAGTAATTGCACAATTTTCAAACTAGAACCCAAATGTTACTTGAAAAATAAAAAACTTAACCAATAATTTCATTCTACTGAGATAATCAAATAGTAACCGCAGACGCAATTGAATTTATAATCAGTTACTGAGTTAGAAATATTACTTTCGAAAATTGAAGGTCAGTCGGAACATTTAGTCAGTCGGGACATTTAGTCGCCCTGATAGGAGAAGTCTTGTTCATTTAGGGTTTTCATTTCAAAATTAAATTGATGTGCATATCATCATTACCACTTTCATCCGAGGATATTATTTTTTCGTTCTAAATAGACGCTTTAACCTAGCTTCGCTTCATTAAAAATGCAAATTGTTGGACAATTCAGACTTCAAATTGATTCCACCACTACCAGTAGCGCAATTGCGTCTGCGGTTAACGCCCCCCCCCCCCCTAGCCTTGTGATTCGTAGCCTTGTAACAAGCATGGATATAAGTCGGTCTCGAACCACCAACCTGTCGTGTAAAAAGTGGAAGTTTTAGCGACTCATCCACCACACTCTTAACAGAGAACATCACTATGTGATCACTATGTGTATAAATCAAATTTGGTTTAGAAAGTCAAAATAGAACCAGATATTGCGACGCATACAAGTCATAACTTTCAAAAGCAAAGAGTAAAGACTAAAACTTAACAGAAAAGTTACTACTAATCACCCATTTTACTTAAAAAAATCACCCACTTACCTCTTTGGATTGCAAATTTCGATTGTAACTTTTCTGATAAAAAACCTTATTTAAGAAAACTTGATCAAAAAATTTTTTTTTCCGCACGGCAATCTTTAAACTTAAACTGACGTTCGCAACTGAAAGTCATTTACGTTTTTCTTGTCAATTCCACTTCGGTTATTGAAGATCGTAATTACGTGTCGATAAAGCAAATGAGTTGAAAAACAACATATAGAAAGCAAAGGCAAACTCAAAGTGAAAACTTTTTCTTCTGAGAAAAATCACACGACCTAAATAAATAAAAATTTATTTTGCTCATTAACGCATAACAAAGCGATTTTACATTTCAGCTGAAATTATTTTTTTTTCATGCCTGAAACTACACAATCATGGGCTTATGAAACTGACGCTCACAATAAACATTAAGTTTTAAGGCACGGCTGCTTTTCGCAAACACAAACAACAAAATAGTCCGCGAAATCAAAGAAGCCAAACAATGTGTTTTTCTTGTTAACAGTCTTCAATTCCTTACTTCTAAAGAAAAATTTGATATCACACTTTTAAGCTCTTTCAATTTTAAGAAAAATTATGATTGACACTTAGATAAATAACTTTCAAACTAAATAGTCAAATTGCAATTATTAATTCCACTGAGAATTATGAAAAAAACAGCGTCGCATTTGCAGACGCCAGCAAAAACAGCAAAAATGAGGTCCAAAAAGGCGCTAAGACAAAAAACTAAAACTTATCTAAAATCAGATAAAAAAATAGCCTACACACAGACAAGATATTAAGCATCGATGCTAGACCGACTAAAATCTTAATTAAAAAAAGTATCGCCAAAAAACTTCAAGTACAGAAAATCAAGTTAAATACATTTCCGAATCTAAAAGTCAGTCAAGTTTTGAACCTTTCACATTTTCGTTACTACAGAGCGTAACTTGCCATCCTTTAATGAATTTTAATCTAGCTTAAAAGAATTCTAAGTCAATCAGCAAACATCGAGGGTTTTTCAAAAAAGGACCAAACTAAATGTCTTCACTTCATTCGTCGACTTTCAAGAACCTGCTGTATTGAAATTCACATCCAGACCTCAGGAGCTAACTTAACATGGTTAAACCACTGAGCCATGCTGCCAAAACTTTATTTTTAGATGCAGGAGAACAATTAGAATAGCTGCATCATATGCTGTGAAATTAAAATGAGCAACTTAGTTTAGAAAAAAAAAGTAGAACGGCAACATAACACTGACATTACCACCTCTCTTGTGATAAACCAAATGTAAAACTAGGTCAGCATTTTTTTCGCGATTTTACTTTGTTGTAATTGTTGTGTATTTTGACTGCCAATTGATATAAGAATTATTTTTCAGCGTAAGCAGCTTTCAAAAGTATTTTCCCGCTAAAGTCGACAACCTAAACACACGCCATAAACTGAAATTTCAAAAAGGCTCAAAAATTCTATGAAAATCAAAAAAAGGCCCGCAAAAACCTTGAAACCACGGGGTCTCTATCTCACTTTCTACCGCATCATAAATACTTCGACAGTCCAGTGGTACGGAAACGTTAATGCTATTAATTTTTCCGTACCATTTATTCTCTAAAAGGAACTGCACACAGAATTTAAAACAGTGGCGAAACTCTGCTTCGCAAACAATGGCGAGAAAACGACAAAAAGCAGCTCTATGAAGTGAAATAAGAAAAAGTAGAAATAAGCCTCGAATTAGTAAAGCGTTTGGTATGTGACAGATTCGAAGCTGCGACCTCGTTTATGAAGTTTTACGTTCTCGCATCTGTTCCATGGGCTCCTGAAAATTCGCTAACACTAGCCATCGATGATGCAACTAAACATACTAATCAATTGCCAATTTTATGCAGCAAAAATGCCCCTAATTATAGATGAAACTATCGCTAATGTGGCGTTGAACCTCTGACCATTATATTAGTAGTGTCCTTGCAATTTGTGCCACGTTCGCTTAACGATCGTCGAACATTTGCCACAACTAAAGCAGAGAACAGATGCTTTGAAAATTCCAATGAAACAGCGATTGAAGCAAAAGTGCAACCAAATTAGCAGTTAAGTTGAAAAAAAGCAGTTATATACTAATACACTACGCTCAGAGGAGTAATAATAACCCAAAATTTGAACTTAAACAAAATATATTTTTTTGGAAACAGTGGAATGATTTTATACTTGTATGAAAAAACATATTTCAAATACTTAGGCCAATTGCTAAAAAAAATTGTGACAACTCTGCATCAATGCAAACTTTCCACTGAATACTATTTATTTACCTCCCGAACCCAACAACAACTTATAATAATCAAAGAATTTTTTTAAATATTGAAATTCTAAGATATATTGATAAGTTAGATTGATATTCTTACCTAATTTTTTGCGCTTTCTGTATAGAAACTATTTATTTGAAATCTAACATTAGAAATATACTAATTTTAGAAAGAAAAAGCTTAAATCAATTTACTGCTTAACCGCAACGAGATAAGCGTTGACTCTACATGCTTTGAGTATACACAATAGTCGTAGCGATTCAATGCAAATTAACATTGTCATAGCAAGTGCGTTAGATTGTCACAACTATTACAATTTCTCATACATGAGACTCAGCGGTTAACATTAACGTATAGCTATCGTGAGATCGGGGTTCATGATCCAACGGGAGATTTTTTCTAGCCAGATATAACCAATATTAATCTAAGTTCTGATCAAAAATTACTTTGAAAAATCCCTGCTTTATTTTAACATTTCAACACAAAGGCGAAGCGGAGCTTCACACCACTTTGGATACAACATAAAATAACAGAGCAAGCTAGCAGACAGGAAAATGAAACCAATAAGTCCAAAAAGAATCGAACAAAAACACTTCAAAAAACAACTTGAAAAAATTCAAAATGCTGTCTGGAATCTTTTTCTATTTACGGAAAGCATGTCCAGAAACAATCGAAAATCCAAAAACAGTTAACAAGCAATAACTGAGCCGACGAAATTTCCAAAAGATCCGAAAATATATTGAAAGGGTCCTCCCCTTTAGCCTGACTTTTTAAAAACTTTGGGATACCCTTTCAGAACTTTCTGGTACCCTTTCAGAACTTTTTGGTTGAGCCAAAAACTATGATTCCTGCATCCTGCCTAAAACTGTTCTTCGAGATAAAAAATTATCCGCAGAAAAATTAACTTCAAAAGAAGATTCAATAATTACAACGTCATTTACTAACAAAACAATAATTGAGAAACTGTTTTCTTTGTCTACTGTAAACCATTTCAAAATTATATTTTCTTTTTTACAATATACAAACAGATGCGTCACTGAAGCTTTACTTTTTTGATAAAACACACTGACGCTGAGCTGGTTTACCTGGGTAGTCTTTGTTTGATTGAACGCAAAATTCATTTGTCGAGGGGGTTAAAATACTTTGACGAAATAAAAAAATAATTCACGATATGCTGTTGGAAAAAAACTACTTTCATTGCGATTATTTCAAACTATGAAAATTGAGCAAGTTCGAGCAGTTTGTGTCGCCTTGCTTTGTGTAGTGCATTGTATGTAAGTTCAGCTTGGACGTTTTCTTTCAGCATCGTTAGTACTCTATTCGCTCTGTGCTGGCTGGCAACTGAGAGTACTTTAGTCCCATACCCGTTGAGACTTCGTCCACCACATTGAGAACCTTAAAAACAAAGAAAACTGCTATTATTCAATTAATTAAAATAAAAAAGACATTCAGTTATTTTATGTTGCGATGAATATACTTGTTTAAAAGATTCGGCCGAAAACAGGTGATATATTACAATAGGTGGTAGTTTTAAGAAAAATAGCTGGAGCGCTTTTTGTTATACTTCGCACAGTATTTATAATTTATTTCAAAAATAAGTGCAAAAAAGTGTAAAATTTGAGTTTTGAATAACATTTTATCTGGCAGAGTAATGTATTTACAAAAACTATCTTAGCAGGATGTACAATTGATTGAAAATGAAATGACTATATTATGCATAATAGTTCTCAAATTGAATACATGCACTATACTTAAAATTACCGCCTATTGTATTATATCACCCAAAAACATTTGAGCCATTTTTAAATTCTGACCACTCAGCCAAAAATACCCAGACAGCCACAGACAATTCAACCGAATTTGAAAATGAAAAGATTGAATAATTTTTGATATGTGTAGATTGCAAACTTAAGCAGCAAAAACTGATTCAGTGCACTCAATGTAAGCGCAGCGTAGCAAACCTTCGCACTCATAAATAGCACTCTTATTTTCCTAATTAAATTTTTTGAGCCTTCAGAGAAAAAATAAACATTTATTGATTTTTCTCAGCCCAATTTCAAACTTTCCGTTTTCGTAGTTGTTTTAAGAGTCATTATGGCTAAATGCGTGATACAGCGCAGAATGTGAATAAAAAACAGATCACTGAAATACGAAATAGATTTAAAAAAAACGGTAATAAAACAAAAACTTTCGTTGATAAAATCAATAAACATTAGCCAACGTTAAACAAACATAAGCCAACAGACAGCTGAGTCAATGAACGCAAGTAAACCGGAAAAAATGAACTTTTTTTGAAAAAAACTTATATTTCGCAATTCAGAGAAAAAATATCACCAAAACAATTTAACATAGCCAACTGACAGTCGGAAAAGAGCAATGACCGCAAGGAAATTGTAAAAAAAAAACGGACTTGTTTATCAAAAACTTTCAACTTTTGAATTTCGAAGAAAAAATAGATGGCCTTAAAGCTCTTTGAAATTGTGGAACAATTTATGATGGACAAGTTAATGTTAAAAATAACCCAATTTGAGAAAACTGGATCAAATGTAAAATTTAATGCCGCTGGGAAACCTGAAAATTCAAATCCACTTCCAAAACTAGAACTCAAACACTTTTTTCGTGACCTCTACAACTTTGCTGTTCGATAGTGGAGAGTTTACCTTCCTTTGAACCAAGGAAACGATCTGAATTTAAAACCAAATCAAAAATCAAACCACGAAAATCAAATTTTGGCTTGAACAAATATTGAAAAATTAACTAAGAAGAAGAACTGAACACAAAAAGAAATCACATGGCGAACCGCGAAACATCAGATATCAGACTGAACAAATTTTAAGACTTTCCGTGAAAAAAAAAACGAAGACCCATATAAGAGTATTCACTTCGTTCATGACTCTTAATCAATAGGCTGTGAAGCTACTAAAATGTCTTTCTAATAGTAGTGCTATAAGATCACCATAAGTGAATAATCAAAAACTTGGTAATAGTGAAATATTTTAAATCTTATGATTTATCCAATCATTCAATTTCAGTTCAAATTCCAGAAATAAAAAACACCCTTTGGTAAGCACCGATGTTTTATGTTAAAGGAGATAATTTCGCAGCATACTGCCGGTCACTCCACATTGAAATGAATGGGATTCAATTCACTTTCCTTGCAATTAAAATAAGATCTTTTCAAAAACTAGAAAGCAAAAAGGTTCCATGACAATCTACCCTTTTCTAATCTACCCTATGCCATTCTACCCTATATAACAAGCTACCCTGTTCTATAAACAGTTCACATTTTCAAAAAAAATTGAGCTAACTATCTCGATTTAAGGTCGCCGGTGGCATAACCGGCTCTTATTTGCGTATAGACTCCTAGCCTCTGTTGGCAAGCTCGCAGCACCTAGGCGCGGCAATAACTATTTTCCGCCTTAAACTAAGTGTAATGGTAGATTGGAGCAGGTTACATTGGCATAGGATAAATTGTACTGCTACCCTTCATGCTATTGACTTTATTTTACGGCTAACAAGCATCTGCTTTTTACAGTTTCACAAACTAAAATACCTGCTTCACAATATCGTAAAAACATACCTCTCGATGTTAAGACAATAAGAAAAAAGCTGTTAATTATGATTTCATACACTTTTTCGAACTATAACCATCACAACAAGCGCAGGTGCATGAATCCGCCAACTCAGACTGATCAAAATACTTTTCAATTTCCTATCAAAATGGCCAAATTCCAAATTTTTGACCAATTATCTGACTAACTCGCAGCATATTATCAGCTAGCGATTTTTTTAGTTGTTTGAAAATGAACATAGCCAACATACAGTTGGAGAAATTCAAATACAGAGACGAAGCTACGCTTCGCAAGCACTAGCTAGAACACGACAAAAAAGCAGCTTCATGAAGGGAAAATGAAAAGATAGAAAACAGCCTTGTATTAGTCAAACTTTGCTACTTATGGGCTTCGCACCTGCAATCAGGACAATTGGAGTCTCACACCCTGCCCTCTCGGTCAGGAAAGTTTAACAACCGGCAAACACTAGTCGCAAATAAAGCAGCTACATACGCTAACAAATTGCCAAGCTAGGCAGCAAAAGTGGCACCGAATACAAATTGACGCAAGTTTGCAAGTAATAAATTGGAATATAACAAACTGAAAGCATCCACACTATCTTTGCATGTATTAAATTGGAAAGCATAAAACCACATTATGTATAAATTGTGAATTTCAAAAAGTTGCGAAATATATTCGGAAAAAAATATATCACGTTGAAGCTCTTCGAATTTCAAATGCTGTTGATGATTTATGTTAAGTCATCCCATTTAGAAATAAACTGGATCAACAGGTATATCATTTATTCCGCGGGGAACACAGAAAATTTAGGTCCATTTAGGCGCGAAAAATCAAAATTGAGCGTGAACAAATTTCCTGGAAAAAAACGAACAAAAAAATCATCAAGGCATTGTTACAGGAATTAAAGACTACTCAAAAATAAACTCTAGTTTTTGCAGAGGGCGCTGTTTTTGAAGACTTTAATTGATGCGCAAAATAAATTTTTTCGAACAACCAATTCAAGTGATCAAAACTTCGAAATTTTCAACATTGTTTTTTGAATTCTTGTTTTGATTCGCATACGCAGCCATTCAAAAAAAGGGCAGCCATTGCTAAAATTTCCTTTGTTTTTAAAACAGAATCGACCAAGATGCAATCAAAAATTGGCAGATACCGACTAGACAGACGGTTCGGGTTTCTCAAAACATCTAAAAAACTTTCACGAAAATTCACAAATTCACACTGAAGCGAAGCTGCACTTCGCAAATACAAGTGAGATAACGCCAAGAAGGAACTAAAAGCGAAATAAGCAAAAACAAGACAAAATAAGCAAAAACAGGCGAAATAAGGAAAAACAAGGCGAAATAAGAAAAAAGTAAAAATGAGCTTGAAAAATAAAACTTTTACTAGGTGCTGGAATCAAAATTCGGACCTGGAGCTTAGCAGTCTCGCGTCCACGCATCTGCGCCAAAAAAGATTCTTACACTAGTTACCAATGAATCAACTACAATTGTTATTAAATTGCCTATGCTACTCAGCTAAAGTGCCGCCAAATAAAAGTTTGAAGCTATTTCAATGTTCTAGATTACTTAGGTTGAAAAATGCTTCGTAGTATTACACTACGCCCCGATTGTTTAACCATCATGTCATTTTAACCACACTCGATAGTCCTTTAATCAATGCACATACTGGTCAAAACAAGTTGCTGTTAACTGACTGACTGGAATAACTGACTTGTTTTTGTCCAAAAACTTCAACTTTAGAAGTTCAAGAAAAACATATAGCCTCAAAACTCTTTGAAATTTAAAAACAATTTATGGGTGGTACTTTTTTGACACAGGTTCGAACCTGAAATTTCGCAAACTCGAGCGAGAGAACGGCAAAGATTCAGGAGCTTTGAAATGCACAAATTTTACATGTAATACCTGAAAAGTAATAAACTAAAGGCAACCGCACTCACTTTGCATGTAATAAATTAGAAAGTAGTACACAAAATTGTCTATAAATCATTCATTCCAAAAATCATGCGAGACATATTAAATGTCAAAGCGCATGGTATTATAATGCTAATGCAGCCTACTGGGCTCTTTTTCCTCCACACAACCCCCCCCCCCCCCCACACCTCACACATTTTATGGTGCAACGAGTGCTTTTACAAGGTTAATTATCAAGACTAAATATGTTTCGGGCAGCCTAATTAGTCAGCATGTCAGTTTTCATAACGATCAGACAATGTGAACAGTAACTTTTCTAATAAAAAACGGCAAATGGAGGGGAGAAGGAAAAAGAGCCGCCTACTGATTCAGTAGGCCATCAAAAGTTGCACTTTTGTTTGCGACTTAGGTTGGAAAAAAATTGCATCGTACCATCACGTTACTCCGAATTGAACTCAAAAAGTTCACATGTACATAAGGGTATTCATATATGCATTAATATGTATGCATACATTTCTGTAGTTATTAGAGCATTTTAAGACTTTTCCTGACACAAAAACTAACAAAAAATCATAACGACCTATATAAGAGTCAAACCTACGTTCATGAACCCTTAACAACGTATCAGTAGGCAATTCGGTTTTTGTCGGTAAGCAGAACAGCAACTGATCCTAGAGAGCCTAGTCCCGGTTGAATGAAAATCAAATCCTCCCTAAATTCTCACCTTGTCCAGCATTTCCTTCGAGTGTCCAGAGGAGAGGCAGAATCTGACTCTGGACTCGATAATGGGTGTGGCGGGAAAGCCGACAACTACCACCGCAATGCTCCGCTTTAGACACTCCCGGGAGAAGGCACCGATCTTTGCTGGCATGAAGAGCATGCTAGGCACCACTGGTGAGTCATCGCTGCCGTAGACAATCAGTCCCATCTGTTTGAGACGTCTGCGGAAGTAGAGCGTATTTCTGTGCAGCTGCTGCAGCCTATCCGCGCCTGAAAGAAACCAATTTTACAATATAAATATTTCTATCTTAATCGACAAATATCAAAATTTAGTAGAAACTATCAAAATCTAGTAGACAAATATCAAAATCTATCAAAAGTAGGAAAAGTTAGAAAAATTCGGTTTCCGGATTTCTTCAACCCCCCCCTTGTAGCTAGCAACTAATTACCACCCCTATAATGAACTAATTGAACGGTTAAGCATATATGAATGTTCTACATATTACCGAATATCCTCCTTTTGCAAGAGGGGGAATAGTTAAAGAGCTCCCGATTTCCTAGTGCTACGCTTACCATTGTTGGTTCCGTCTTTGCCCATAATGATTCGCATGGCAGATATGATTTGCTGGGCAACTGGGGGACTCATGCTGTTGGCATAGTTTCCACTCTGTGAGTTTGTTCTGAGGTAGCCAATCAGAGCCTTCGATCCCCCCATGTATCCTCCGCACGATCCGAAGCTCTTCGTGAATGTGCCCATCATGATGTCAATGTCACGTGGGTTCAGGCCATAATAGTCGACCACGCCCCTTCCTAAAAGACAATAAAACATTTGTCCTTCTACGTCGAATAGATTTCACATTTAACTGAAGAAAGCGACCAAGCGAAAAAGAGAGAAAAATCGGTCTTCTTTTCTGTGAGCGAAAGTCATGCACTGTTTAACATTTCAAAATCCGAAGGTTGGCATGAAGTCAACTTTTTGCTCTTGACGTATATCGATATATATCTTGATCAAGCGAAACGCTGGTTTTATTATTACACAGGTTGCGAAGCTGAGCTTCGCACCATTTGCGATACAAAACATGTGCCAGTGTTCCGGCGGAAAACTATGATCGCAAGAAAAGCACATATTTAATTTTTCCGAAGTATTTCAAGATTAAGCATTACCAAGCCATTCTGTAGGACACTGATGATTTCTAAGAGCTCAGGTGGCAAACTCATCCAGAAGTCATTGGTGAAAAATGGGAAAGGACGGATTTTTTTTTAAAAATTTTGGCAATCAGATAAAACCATGATTTCAAACAAGTCAATCAAGACTCCATTTCTTTACTGCGACTAAGATAGGAATGAAAAGAAACCATTGCCCACATACTTTTTTGATTAAATTAAGCCATTTTAAAAAAAAAGCTGGAACAATAAGCAAGTTTTTTTATTCCGCTGGGAAACCAGAGAAGGTAAATCCGCCTTCGAAACTAGAAGACAATCAAGTTTAGACTTAGAAGACTTTTAAACTTTTGTGTTCGATTCTGGAATTATTTTCCTTTATCAAAGGAAATAAACTGAAATCACAAGCAGAACGAGAAAAATCTAAATTCAATGTGAAAACATTTCAAGACGTTCTGAAAGAAAATCATCACGACCTATAAAATGATGTTCACTACTACGTTCATTGACACTTAAAAAACCGTACAACACAAAAAATCTTCCATCGAACGTTTTTTTTATTTCAAAAAAAAATCTTGGAACTACACCAGCAGAATTACAAAAACATTTCAAGTATTTTGAACACAGAGGCGAAACACGAGAAAAAATAGAATTACGCCTCGAATTAGTAAAAATTCGGCTACGTCTCGGATTGGATTTGCGACCCAGAGATTATGCGTCTCGCGCACTAAACACTCAACCACGAACGAAAAATAAACACTTGCCAGAACGCGACCAAAAAGCAGCTCTATCAAATGAAATAAAAAAAGCAGAAATAAGCCTCGAATTAGCCAAAACTCGGATAAGTTTCGGTTTAAATTTGCGACCTAGCAAAGTTGAATCTAACACACTAATCACTCAGCCACGGATGCTTAAAATCCCCAAAAACTAGCCACCAGTAACGCAGCTACATATGTAATAAATTGCCAATTCGATGCAGCAAAGTAGCACCAAATACAAAAAGACACAATTTTGCATGGACTAAATTGGAAAACATAAAGCCAAATTATGTATAAATTGTGCATTTCAAAAAAATTGAAGATACATTGAGTTGGAAAATTTCTGAAATCGAGCTTTTTCTCATTGCACTGCTGTTTGAAACAAATAACGTTTTCCGGTTCATTTGATGAATTAATAATGCATCCGCTGTTAACTTTTTACTAATCAAATGTCAAAGCACATACGATATTATACTGCTACCGCAGACTACCGATTTAAAAGTGCCACCAAAAGTAGCACTTTTACTTCCGACTTAGGTTGGAGAAAAATGAAGGTTCGTACTAATACACTACGCTCGCAAGTGTACGTAAGAAAAGTCGGCTCTTTTTCCGAACCCCCATCCCCCCCCACACACACACACACTGCACACAAGCATCATTTTTATGGTGTAACGAGTGGTTTTACAAGGTTGACTATTATAACAAATATGATTGCCATGACCTAATTAGTTAGCATGTCAATTTTCATAACAATGACAAGGTGAACAGTGATTTTATTTGTAATAAGATGCAGGTGGGGGAAAAGGAAAAAGAGCCGAGAACTCCGTGCTTTGGCCACTAAGTAGACAAAATGTACGCACATAAGCGGTAGTTCGACTATTGTTGTTTTTTCAACATGTTTTCCACGTTGTTTTTGTTCTGATTTGATTACACTTGCTAATCGTAAGCGTTAACGATCCACTGACAACTTCAAATCATTTTTCGCCCTTCCGTGATATGCAAAACCAACATCCACAATTTTAGTTAAATGCATTCAATTCTGTTCCTTAAAATTTCGATCGTTTTATTGCCGTATCAAATTATGACATTCACTATGCTCAAGCAAAATGTTCCTATCAAAAAAAAACAAAGCAAAATGGAAACAAACATTTTCGTACACGGCTTTCTTGTAAACATGCAAAGCGAAACGGAGTGAAATATTTCCCTTCAAGAATCTCCATGCTAACCCTGGGGCCCGATGGCACCAATTGAGTGTGCCTCGTCCAGCCAGAGATAGGCCTTGTACTTCTTCTTCAGTCTCACAACATCTGGCAGTTTCACAATGGATCCCTCCATAGAGTAGATGCCCTCAACCACCACCAGGATCTTCTTCCACGGCCTGTGTGTCCTCGGCTGCCCACATATCACTGCATTCTTCAACTTCGCTTCCAGGCTAGCCATGTCTAAAAAAAGGTTAACTTTACCAGTTCTATTCACTACTTTTACCATTTCTATTCACTATTTATATCTTCATCACTTTAAGGCAAGGTTTCATCACTTTAAGGCAAGGTTTCATCACTTTTAATCAATCTAACTATAAAGCACTGAACCCACAGTAGAGTCAATTCCCAAAAGGTAGTTTTGCTATACTTCGAGGCTATATACAAGCTGTAGTACACCATATTCCTGAAGAAGCACAGCCAACACTGTTGGAAAGACTTAATGAACAGAAACAATTTGAAACTTTTGAACCTAAAAGACTTGGAAAAGCTTAATGGATTGAAAAAACATAGCCAACAGACAATTGTAAAAAAGGTCAATGAACGCAAGTTAACAGGAAAAAGAAAACACTGATTTTTTTTTTTGAAAAATTCTCAATTTTCGAATTTCAAAGAAAAAAAGATGCCCTTACAGCTCTAGGAATTTCTAAAACATTTCATGACAGACACTTTTTTTATTTTAATAATCCAATTTGAGAACTGGATCAATGGGTAAATTTTTTGTTCCGCTACGAACTCTGTAAAACAAATACCACTTTCAAAACTAGTAGTCATTTTTTGTTTTTCTTGACCTTGACACTTTTGCTGATCGATAAATAAGTTTGTGTTCATTTCACCACAGAAAATGAAACCACAAATTTCAAACAGCGAAAAATCAAATTTGAGCTTGAGAAAATTATTCGCTTCCTAAAAAAATTATCACGACGTATATAAGAGTCTTCACTACGTTCATCGATTCTTAAACAGTGGAAAAGCCATAATACAGTAGGAAATAAGTCAATGAGCACAAGGAAACCGAAAGAAAACAGACTTGTTTTTCAAAAAATTTCGAAGAAACATGTCGCTTTTAAACTCGTTGACTTTCAAGATCAATTGATGATTGATTTTAAAATCATCAATTTGAGAAAACTAGATCAAGTATTATTCTTTCTATTCCTCTGGGAAATCTAAACACTTAAAATCGATCACGTTTTTCGCGATTTACGCTTTCGTAAATGGTGACTGTATTTTGCTTTTTTCGGCAAATTAAACACAGAGGTGAACCTGAGCTTCGCACCGATTGCGATACAGCAATTATAGGATTAAAACAGCAATACACTCAAGAACTATCAAAGAGGACTTCGAAAGTTGTAAGTGCAGAAGAAACAACTAGATACGAAAAACTGTTAAATTTTTAAAGAGCAACCAGTGGGGTTGAATTTGAGCAATCGAAAATAAACATTTGGTGCTTCAGTCTTAACAAGTTCATAAATAATATTGGAAAGGAAAGAACATATTAGTTACATAAGCCGACAGAATTAAAGCCGACATCCAAGTCCTTTAAAATCAACCAAAATTGTTCGGAACTTTTACCGTTTGAAAAAAAAAACAGGTCCTGGTCAGATTTGAATCCAGGAACTTTGCCTTCCCAGGCGTATTTCTTACCTCCAGGATAAGTGTGTAGGAGAAAGTAAGAAAATTGAATTGGTCATGAAACTAGGTACCACCACGTGTCGATGAGTCCTGTGAACAAAGTTGTTTACGGTACCCGATTGCAATAACCGATTGTCTAGTACCAGATTGCAATACCCTTGCTTTTCGCAAGGGCAATTAATAGAACTTGAAGAAATTAAAGTCAAACCCGCAAAAGAAGTGTCTTCACTACATTCATTGAAAATTAAACAGATTACAGCCTTAATAGCCTTTTAAGATACAGCCTTGAAGAAGCTCTTTCCACTTTTCTGTCAAAACCTTTGATGTCACTGTGTTCGAAATTATTTTGATTTTACGTAGTTTTGTTAGCTTTTTTGACGAGTTAAACCCAATGAAAGAAAACTGGATCCACAGTTAACTTTTTTTATTCCGATGAAAGTCTTGCTTCACGACCTCATCATCTGCACTGCCGTAATTGGTGAGCGTAATTAGCTTTCTTTTTAGCAAAAAAATTTAAATTGCACTGACAAATCAAACAACTTTCAAGTCTTTCCTGGAAAAAAGTAAAAACAAACACGACTTAAAACACTTCGTTCGTTCTGACTTAAAAATTAAAATCACTTTCTGAAACTAACAGTCTCAAATAGCGACCAGACAGTTTGGCAATTATTTGAATTTCCAAGAAAAAGCGTATCAACAATTTGAAACTCTTTCATTTCAACTCCTCTTTTATGGCTGGCATTTTTTCTCCGATTTGAATAAAATGGATTATTAGGTTTTTTAATCCGCTGGGAAACCTAAAAAATATATACACTTGAAACACACAAAATTTGAATTCAATCACCTGTTTCTTCGTTATTGCAGAACTTACTTAACATTCCTTTAGGCAAAGAAATTTGAAATGAACTACTAAAAATATATTAGTCAAACCGCAAAAAAAAAACTTTAAGTCTGAAAAAGTTTAAGGCTTTCGAGAAAAAATTGCACGACCTAAATAAAGTCCTCAGTTCATCATTGACACTTAAACAAAATAAGGAATCCATTGAATATCTAAACAGATTTCTCGATTCAGAAACAAGCCATCCGACTTCTGAGAAACAACATTATTAACTGATCGTTAATTTCTTTAGTTTGAGAGCAATCTGTTCTCATGGCCCAGACCTCAAATTAAAGCATAACAAACTACAGACAGCTCGGATCACTTTAACTATATCCCCTCTTTCGCAAATGGGGAGATTCGTTACTAGGTATAAAATTCTGATATGCTTAATCGTTGATTTATTTATTTATAGGGGGGATATTAGTTTCAAGGTACCCGAGGGGAAGGGGGAGATATAGTTAAAAAGATCCGCCAGCTCTTTATTGGTCGTTCCCGAATCAGTTTCATGACGTAACGAGTAATTTTTTATGGTAAAATACGAAGACTAAATATTTTTACAATAGCTTAATTGGCTACTATGCCAACCTCTTAAATCAGACATGGTGAATAGAGTTTTACATTTAAGTAAAAAAAAAATTACAAGTAGAAGTTGGAAGAAGGTTCTGAAGGACACTAACCGTTGTGTTTGAAAGTGCGAATGGTGGCGCCTGTGAGTCTGGCTCCGACGATGAGCGAGGAGTGGTTGAGTTGGTCTGAGATGATGAGACATCCTCTGGTGGCGAACACTGCCATGTTCATGGAGTTGGTGGCGAAGCCCATGCCGAACACCATCGCACTCTCAACTCCCAAGTACTCGGCCACCACACTCTCTAGCTCGCTGTTCAGCGAAGAGGTGCCTGGTGAATCATAGAACCACGGTTGCTTGATTTAAATCGATTGACTTGAATCATTGATTTAAATCGATTGACTTGAATCATTGATTTAAATCCGATTTTAATCTTGATTTTAATCAGAGATTTTGTTCGATTTAATTCAAAGGTGTGAAAATCCAAAATCTCAGTTAGTGGCGTGTTTTTCCCGCCAATTATAAGCCAACTTTCATCCGCCAGTTTTGTTAAACTGGACTTTTGTATGAAGGTTCTAAACCAAAACTGAAAGGTGATCAATTGTTTCCGTTCATACCCTTCATTTCAATAATTTTTATAACACTTCTTTTGGTTTTTCCAAGATGCTTGGCAAAAAAATCGATTAGAGAACCGATTCCACACACTTTTTTAGGTAAAATTGATTGAAAAACATAGCCAACAGTCAAAAAATTATTCAACAGCAATTTTGAAAAAGATGGAAAAGATATGCTTCGAGGAACGATTTTGAGTTTCATTTAATAATCAATGTTTCTATTTTCAGTAGGAACATTGCCAACAGACAGTTGGAAAAAGTCAATGAACGCATGTAAACAGAAAAAAAAATACTGGCTTCTTTTTTTGAACTTTCTAACTTCAAAGAAAAAAATTGATGCCCTTAAAGATCTTTGAATTTCTGGAACCAGGCGCGGATCTAGGAATTTCTCGAGCGGGGGGGCGAATTTTTTAAAAAATGAAAAGTTTGTCGACCTTTTTTTATAGGTCGACCAATAGATTTTCTGAGCTCTCCTAAAGCACTAAACAGACCCCTTTTTGGAAAAATTTTCTGCACCGCAGGCAAAATTTGGAGCCGAAAAAAAAACAAGCCAAAAAGGCATTTTTAGGCAATTTTTGAAAAACTTTGACCAAAAAAATTAGTATATTTTGGCGCCTTAAGAAAAATTTTGAGTCCGTCACAAAAAATTGATATCTCAAATAAGTACAAAGTGGGGACCCTTTGGGTCGGCAGGAGGTCAAATTCCTGAGGGGGGGCGTCCACCCCCCCCCCCCCTAAATCCGCTACTGTCTGGAACAATTTATGATTGACACTGTTTTGATAAAAGGAAGCCAATTTGAGAGAACTGAATCAATAGGTAAAATTTTTATTTCGCTGGAAAATCTGAACATATAAACCCACTCTCGAAACTTTTTGTGACTTCTACACTTTCGCTTTTCGATAGTGGAGTTTGTCTTCCTTCTAACAAAGGAAATGAATAGAACTTAAAAACAAATCAAAAGTATTTTTTTAATTTTTTTTTCAGTCAAACCTGCAGTATAATCGTCACTTCTAATTAAAACTCAAATCCAGTCTTGCAAACAGTAATTCTTGCTTTCAATAACCCTTAAGTTTAGCCCATATCTGCTTTTAAAAGTTCAAAGTACACGCCAGATCACACTAGCTGTGCCGCACAGTTCGTCTTAAATGTTTGTTAAACCGAAAATTGGTTTTTTCGCAATAACACAAAATTACCAGCTACCAAGATAAACATAAGTCCCTAAGGACACTAAGTATAGAAAATGTATGTAACGGTACGCTTTCAATTGTTTTGAATCTTCAACAAAAATGGCCGCCCAACACAACCAGGAGAGCATCATATTCAGATGATTCACGTTAACATGAACACAAGTCAAATCCGTACCAAAATAACTAAGAGAACATCATTTTTTAATGATTGACGCTTACCATGGAAAACATGAATCAAATCCGTACCCAGTTCCTGACGAGTGGATGCGCAACCGACTCCCCATTTGCGTATGCTGTGCTCCACGTCTGGAGTGGTGGGTCCATTCTCGCCCTCTGCAAAACCCAAGTAGTTGTATGAACCCATGTTGATGCATCTTTTCGTCTTTCCCGTCAGCCTGATGAAAAAAAGAATGCAATTTGCCAAAAGGAATAGAAACAGAACAAATATATAAGCGACCGATGGCAAGCTCTCCGCCTCCCAGTCGAAAGACCCATGTGAATAAACTCCCCTCTAAAGAGACCGAGCAAACAATCCCCCCCCCCTAAAGTTAAATTGCAATTTCAAGCAGTATTGGCCGGCATGTACTAGGCTCAAATCTGATTGGCTGAAAAATGTTACTTTAAACCAGGTGAACTCTCTCCTTCTCTCCTCCCATGAGTCATTTAGGGTGGAGATTGTTCACTTGGTCACAAAATTGCATGTAATTATAAACCAGAAGTGCAAGTTCGGCTACGTCAAGGGCTACACAACTCGCATGTTGCTCATTTCCCTCGCGGATTAATGGCCTGAACAATAACAGATTGCAAGCTTGGCTAAGGAGATACAACCAAATTGATTAGTCTAAAAAATTTCATCGAAACTAATTTACGCAATATCAGAAAAAAGGGGGTGTTGGGGTAACATTTTAAAGCCTCCCCTTGAGAAAATCCAAGACCCTCCCCTGTCTGTTATGTTCAGATTTGAACAATTATGCAATACTTTTTCGTTTCATGTGACGGGTGTCCTACTAAACATTTTCTATGAACTAACACAAAATTCGACAAACGGCTACTTTTGTGCAAAACAACGGATTCATTGTCTTTGACGCCCTTTATTTGTACAATGCCTGCTCACATGCTAAACCCATTACCTTATGCTAACACCATTTCTAGTCTAAATCTGTTCACATGCAGATATGAACAGTAAAGTAAATATAATTAGAAGCATGAAATAAATTAAATGCAGATTTTGTACAAACTGGGGCGACTTTGGGCGGCGGAAAATTATTATATGGCCCAGCAAATCCCCTGAGTCTTTCTGCATACATTACATGTAAAAGCACTGCTAGAAAGTCTGCGCAACCAACACTGCCATTCGAATTCAGCACCGAACTTTATATCTTAATGGAAATACGTCGGTACGATGTTGCGATTGGTTGAATCTGTAGTTGATTACGAAAATGAAAACCAGAAAATTCCATTTTAGTAAGGCTTTTTTTGATTAAAAGAAAATTTCTATTATTTCACAAGTGAATTCAAGATAATAACACCAAAGCAGAGATTTATGAAGGAATTTTAAAACATTAAATTGATGAAGGAATTTTAAATAATAAATTAGGAGGCAAAAAACTTGAAATACACCATGTTAATACGAAGCGCTCAAGGATTTCAGCTTCCGGAATGGTTAAAAAATTCAGCTTCCGGTTCAGCTTCCTTTTTAGTTGCTGTTCTTCAAACTTTAGCAGTTTTTGTCGGTCTTTTTATACTAACTGAAAAATATCAATACCTGAGCTTAAATTAAAACGAGGTTCCACTCACGATCAGGTTTTTGTAAAAACGTGGGGATGTGAAAATTGCCCGGATCTCTTTAAACTGCTTCCGCCCCCCCCCCCCACCACCACCTCCTTTTGCATAATGTGGATTGTTAAAGAGATCCAATTACCAATTTGTGATAATCAATGTGCGCAATATATGATTCTTTTAAAGCGTAGCGAAGGTGTCGAAACAATTTGATCCAGAAGTTTGATCCGGACTTCCTAAAAATCTCACTCGAAAAGACTAGCAACACATCCAAATTTTACATGCAAATTGTGGTGTGAATAATTTTTTTTAGAAAACTCAATTAATTAGGGGCCGTAGCTGCTGCCATTAAGATAATCACTCATAGCGGCTCTTAACAGGATTCGTGGGATCAAACTCCACTTTGGTCCCAGTCGGAGGGTTCTCAATACCATCAACCTCATCCAGGTGGGAACGGCTAAGGCGAAATGGATGACTGACAACCCCCCCCCCTTAGTGTAGGGCAGGGGAAAACTAAATCGAAAAAAGAGAGAAATACTCACTCGATGTTCCAGAAGTGGTCGTCGCTCTTCTGCAGCATCACATCTATCTCTCCCCCTGGCACACTGCAGATGGGTCTGTTGTAGCAATCTCTAATCCTCCTGTACAAGTTGCGGGTGAAGAACGCCTCAAAGTCAGCATACAGCGGCACAAAGTCCTAAATACCACACAAAACATAGCCAACAGGCAGTTGGAAATTTCAACACAGCGGAGAAGCGGAGTTTCGCACCACTTGCGATATAACACAAACAAAAAAACAAAAGTCGAAAAAAAATGAAAACTGTTAAGAAGCTAGGTTAAACAAAAGTTTCGTACTCTCAATAAAAGACAACTAAGGGCTCAGCTAAAGCTGGAGGTACGTGTTTGAAACTTTCTGAATTCGATATACTAATGCGGAACGAAATGGGTTATTTCAAAAATTGGACCTACCCCAAAACCTTAGTTGTTTGTTTCTCTACTAAATTAGTAAGAGTGAAGTACACAAATTTTTTCACAAAAAAACTAAGGAAGCAACGCTTCTGCAGGAAAAAATCTCGCAACCGGTTCATTCGATTGAACTTTCTGTCTCAGATTTGTTGGGGTAGTTTACAAGACAATTCAAAAAGCTTCTAAAACGCTCAAAAGTTCAAAAATTGACTTTCCGAAATCCAAAACTTTTTTTTTTGCAAAAAGCACATCTTAGCCGCTAAAGCAGAAAAGATTACCCAAACCGAGTTCCTCGGTTGAACACTTGACCAGACTGTATACAAAAAGACTAGGCGAGTATACAGGCATATAAGGAGTAGACGATCTTTCCATTGATACTCCTTTTTTGAAAATCACTAGAATCCGCTGTGAAATCTGAAAAAGAAATTCCACGCTCGAAACTAGAAGTCGAACTTTTGTGACTTTTACAATTTTGCTCTTAGATAGAGTAGTTTGCCTTCCTTTCAACAAAGGAAAAAAAGATAATTTGAAAAAATCAAAAGTCAAACCGCGAAAAAGTACATTTGAGCCTGAAAAAAAAGAATGAAAAAAAATCATCGCGACCCATATAAGAGTCTGAACTAAGTTCATCGACTTTGAACACTGTCCGACCGGGCTTAGCTCAAAGCCGAGTGCGAAGGAACCTCGAAGTTGTTAAGGTTCAATAATGAATCAAATTGAAAATTTGTAAGAAAATTTGTTAAAGTGGAAAAAAGTCTAGTTCCCGATCAAACGGCACTTGCTTTCACATGTGTAACGAGCTCCAGAATCAAAATCAATAATACCGAAGAAAAAAATGATTGTTCTGAACAAGTCCATATTCAACAAGTTTCAAAGAAAAATAACTATGCCTAATAAAAATGATGCTTAATTTACTCAAAAGTTAAAAAACAAAGTTCCTAAAATTGGAAGTTTATTTAAAATGTCACTGTTGAAGCTATGAAAAGCAGGAATATCATTAATTCAAATCTGTCTGAAAGAAATCTTGACTCGATACTTTTGCACATGTGTGGCTAAAACAACTTGAGCTTTCATCAGTTTTAAGTCGGTACAATTTTAGCCGCCCAAAAAAATGCCAATCAATTTGAAACTCCATAAAACCAAACAAATATGCCGGCATAGTTAGCGATACTAGAGCAATGCAGCAATCAGCAGAAAATCATTTTGTGTACATTAAGTCAAAAACTTCTTACTTTTCAAAAAATAGGTTAGGCTCAGTTCACCAACTAATTAAACAATTTTGATTTAAATTGAGAAACTTTTCAATTGACCATTTCCATGTTTCTACCAATAAATAGACGCTATGATACCATGGCGTAATCTTTGTACAGAAAATGATATATTGACTAGTATTTTTTGTAGAAACTGGGTTTAACGCCGCAAATTTTTTCAAATGACTTACTTTTCGGTTTAATGCTACAAGTGCTTGTTGCATGCCATAGAAGCCCGAAGCGACAAGTAGTCTTACTGGATATCATAATAAAACTTCAAAACATGGATCTCTTTAACAAATGCCCTCCCCTTTATGCCCTCCAACTGAAAACTCTGTTAAACTACTAACAAAAACAATTTCTCACGATGATCTTGTCAAAATGAACAAAAAAATGACGAGCAGCTAGAAAATTAAGTACAAGTGCTCACACAACACTGGAAAATCAATAACAGTTTGAATTGGGAAACAGTCCAATGCTTCTTCAATCCCATATCAGATTGATTTTGAAGAAACAATTGTGATATAGACAATCGCTGTTCGCACTGGGCAAAGTGCGAACAGAAAACTCTCATTTTAGCCGGAGGTTATTCGTCTCTCTTATCAGCCGAACTGAAAAAAAAATACCAGAAAGGTGACAAAAAAGAAGTTAATTGACAATGCCAACAGGCGCCAAAACGGCGAGCGTAACAAAAAGAGGAACAAAAAAAATGTCCCAGACAAGCCAAACAACACGAAAAGTCAAGCAAGTTACAGTAAGAACAGAAACTGATATTAATGCAACTATAGTTGGTACCTCAACAACCCAACCACCGACCGGAACAAGCATACTGAAACAGCACAGCAGGGTCACATACCAAATACGAACGAACGTTAGCAACAACAAGAGCTCGAGCGACTGAAACCACAGATTGGTTAGATGTCAACGCAACATGATCAAAGGAGCAATACACAGAACACAGTAAACAGGGTGATCAACCGCAGAAGAGGGTAAACAACACTTATGAAAACCAAGTACCGATAGTGAAGACAAATCTTATTGTTGATGACTAATTTCGCTGAAAAAAAATCTAACAGGCTCAGACCACGGGGACAAAGCAGCAGCGAAATCGATTTAGAAACAATTAGCACAACTAACAAGCAATACCACAGAGCTCAGTCAAAGTGGCACACAACGAAACAGTGACTCAAATTATTTCGGGGAAGAAACAGGAAACTTCAATGAGATTTCAACAGATGATAAAAGAAAAAACTTAAAGAGCACATTCATTCTTAAAGCAAAAAGGCTGACATATTGATAAACTACAGCTAGTTTTATAAAAACGCTTGTCCCTATATAAAAGTTCCTTAAAAACTCTTGTAACTACTATAAAAAAGTTAGATGGACACATGTTGTTTGAGCAAGATGAAGTTCTCAAAAACTGATGAGAAGCAGTCTCATATAAAACAATTTTTAGGTTGTTACCACAAGCCCTGAGAGGCCGCGAAATGCGAGATTGCTATTTATGATATTGACCTCATATATTGCTACTTATGACATGACATTGATTGCTATTTATGACATTGACCTCTATGCCAATGACTCCCTTATGTCATTGACATTTGCCATTTAAAATAACAAAATATCACAGTTTTTTGGACAACTTCATAATGGGAAACCATGATTTGACGAATCTCATATGCAATTGATTTGTCGGTAGTATTTTTGGTAAAAACTCAAAACACGTAGTTTCCTAAAAAAAATTAAACTTAAAAATTATACTGTTTGTCAATAGTGTAAAACTTATCTACTTCTCTTTGATGTTGACGTTTTGCCTCAAGATTTTTCGACCTTTTAAGCACTATAGACGAGGAAAAACAAACTTCCGCACAGAGACGTTTGAAAACGGACCATATAGTTCCATGACGTTTTCTCAGGAAAGAGACTGGGATATAAAGTGTACAAAAATTGTATTTTTTTATTGTACGCCTGAAAACAATTAAATATTTTTTATTATTATCAAAAAGGGGAAGTTAAAGAGGTACAAAACAAACCATTGGGCTCTTTTTCCTTATCCCCTCACCTCACACGAGCATCAATTTTATGATGTAACGAGTGGTTTTACAAAGTTAATTATGAAAACCAAATACGTTTGGCATGGCCTTATTAGTTCGTGTGCCATTTTCATATTAATCGAATAAAGCGAAAAAAATTCAGGCGGGGGAAGGGAAGGGAAAAGAGCCAATCATTTATTTAGTTCAATACAGGGGTGGTTATTCTTTGCTAGGTATCATAGACGGGTGTGTGTGTGTGTGGGGGGGGGGGGGGGGGGGGACGTCGGAGATCCCAAAACGTTCGAAACCGAAACATTTACGGAAAGAAGTTTCGAACTTCCGGGTAAGCTTTTAGACTACAATAATCTTTTAAAGACAGCTATTTGTACTCGTTCATTTCTTGAGGTCGGACGGAGAATTTGATCAGACTCAGTGGATTTATTTTATACTACTTTCCAGCATGAAATGTAAAGGTCAACATGTAAAAAGGAGAGAAGAAACATAGTTGGTGCCATTTTAAATCGAGTTTACATAATCCGCAGACCATAAAACTATCAATAAACAATAAATCGATATGAAGTTGAAACGAAAACAGCGGTTCTCATTTCCATTTCTCTGACAGCATACGCTTTCACGAGGAAATTATTGATCGGATTTATTTTACTGCTGAAATTTAGCTGCAAATTAAGCTTTTCGAGACGTTTTAACTGCAAAAAACTGCTAACTTAGGTGCCAAAAAAACATGGCCGACAGACAGTTAGAAAATAGTTAATGAACGCAAGTAAACAGAAAAAAAAATTGACTTCTTTTTTTTTTGATTTTTTTTTGTTTTTCGAATTTCAAATAGAACAAATAGATGCCCTTTAAGATCTTTAAATTTCTGGAAAAAGTTATGATTGGCAGAGTTTTGATAAAATGAACCCAATTAGAGAAAACTGGATCAACAAGTAAGATTAATATTTCGCTGGGAAATCTGAAAATTAAATTCCACTTTCGAAATTGGAAATCAATCACATTTCTCATGACCTTTACACTTTAGCTGTTCGACTGTGGATTTTTCCATCCCTTTAACAAAAGAAATGAATTGAACTTGAAGATAAATCAAAATTCAAACAGCAAAAAATCAAATTTGATTGTGAACAAATTTTAAGACTTTTCTCAAAAAAAAAACAAAAAATCAACCTGAACAAATTTTAAGACTTTTCCTGGAGAAAACCATCGCTACCTATATAAGAGTTCGAACTTTGTTCATCAACTCTTATAAACAATCAACAGCTTTCAATAAGTCTTCAGAGTAATTTATCGGGCGGCAACAAAACAAAATTGGTAACTCGTTGATCCTGAAGCAAAATTACTGTCATAAAAAATTTTCTTTTAACAGTTACCTCTAGACCAGGCGTGCCGGAGGAGCTCAGAATAAATCATTACAAGTCAATCTATATAAGATGGTAGTTTCAAAATCAACTTAAGAAAATTTAGACAATTTTTCAAGTGTCAACCAAATTGATGAAAATCCATTTTTTGAACTTTTTGGAGGATTTTGACCAGAAATCATGTTTCTGCGCGCGCGCGTTCCCCTTCAACGAGAGAAAACGTATTCAATGGCTCAAAAAGTGCCTTTAGAAAGAATAAGGTTCGGTTGGTCAAAAATGGATGTCGTGAAATAGCCTGCTCCTCACCTCCCCAAACCCCCCCCCTCCTAAATCAAGAAATCAACATTAAATACACAAGGGAAATCAATCTTTTATGTGGTTGACGTAAGTACCTTTAGCTTAGGGTTCTCTTTTGCCTTTCGAACACTCTCGAAGCCGAAGTTTCTGAGGAAATCTCTGAGGTATCCGAACACTATCAGGATTGCATAGGCTATGTAGGTGATGACGGCCACACGCAGCGGCGTCTCCTCAAACGAGTACTTGTACAAATGACTGTACAGCTCCTAAAACAACACAACGAAATTCAAATACAGAGTATGATAAGGTTTTTATTATCCTGATGTTAAAGCTATAATATTAGAATTGTTGTTGGGTTGAAATTCTTATTAATGCGGTCTTTTTACGGTCCGTATAAAAATTTCTATTTTTTGGAAGCGTGAAACAATTCTGATTTACAAATACTGAGTATATATTTGTATAATTTAGCAATTTGTATAATTTAGCTATTTGAATAATTTAGCTATAATTTAGTATAATATAACTTAGAAATTTGTTGATCCTTTTGCAAATAATCGGGGCTTTTTCAGCTGTTGTTTTGCAAATGAGTTTTTCAGGTTTTATGGCATAAAAGAACCCAAGTTCCTGACACATTAGTTAGTGCAAAATTGTTGGAAAAACGAATCAACGTTTCAATCAACGAATCTAAACAGAAGCCAATTACCCTTGAATTAATCATTTTAACGTCAGAAATCATTTTTTTAAACTCATTCCATCACTTTGAATCAAACTAAACTAAAAATGAACAGTATTTGACCGACTGAGTTACTCTAGGTTACCGGTCCTGGCATTTATAATTTGACTCTTAAAACGGGGCAAAAAAAACATTTTCAAATTTGATCATACAAACAAACAAGCCAACAGATAATTGCAAAAAAAGTCAATGAAAGCAAGTAAACAGAAAGAAAACTGACATGCTTTTTTTTGAAAAAACAAGTCATTTGAAATTTCAGAGAAAAATATATGGCCTTAAAGCTCTTTAAATTTTACCAAAAACAACTTAGAAAGGACACTTGATAAAAATAAGCCATTTTAGAAAAAGGATCATTAGGTAAAATTTTGATCTGGCAAATCTGAAAAAATCCAAGTTGGAAACTTGAAGTCGATCATGTTTTTTGTGACCTTTACACTTTTGCTGTTCGAATGTGGAGTTTTCCATCCCTTCAACAAAGAAAATGAACTGAACCAGAAAAAAAATTAAATTTCAAACATCAAAAAATCAGCATTCAGGCTTAAATACATTAAGAATTTTCCTGAAAAAAAAAACAAAGAAAATACCATCACGACCTATATCTTAGTCGTCACTACAATCATCGAGTCTTATGCAAAACATGGAAGGAACCGTAAGACAAATTAAAAACAAAAGTGAATTTTTGACAACATACCTGTGATACAAAAATCATAATAGATCATAAACAGGCACAGAAACAGAGACTAATCAGAGCTTCGCACCACTTGCTATACCACAAAAACATAGCATGACAAACTAGCAGAAATAAACTAGCAGAAGACAAAAGACGCTAAGTCGAAAAAGAGATTTGAAAAGCAGAGATAAGCTAGATCTAACAAAAATTTCATATCTTTGTCTCAACTTCGTTTTGAACAAAAAAAGATGCTAAAAACGAATATTGAAAGTTAAATTTGCATCAAAACAAATTTTACTAAGCGGTAACAAAGCCAACTATAATTGAGCAAACACCCGTTGATTCCAAAAAAATTACTTGCACAAACTCTTTCAAAAAATGAAAACAACCAACCCCTGAGAAGACTCACACGCATTATGAACTTGTTTAGCTCATTCCAACCGCACAATACGAGGCCACTAAGCCGATTACCTATAAACCCAAAAACGAGAAGGAAGTTATCCCGAACCGGAAATGGTAAAATTGAAAAAAACCAAATGCAGTAGATCGAGCATTTGATATGCAGAAATGATCGAAATTTATCTGTTGGCTGAGGATTAATCAGACTTGCGAAACTGATTCAGTGATTCAGTTGAAAAATTCTATTTCAAAATAATAAGTCTTGCTAATCGCTAGCATAATAATCGCATGCGTACTTTAACCGTGCATATAAATCTAAGCACATTGTTCAAGCTATGAAATTATTTCAGACTGAATCGATTCGCGAAAACCTTTAAGTTTTTTGAAGCAACCTATAAGACTTTGAAATAATTTAATTTCTTTCGTGGATCGAATCGGTTCGCGAAAAGTTTCAGTTTTTCTGAACAATCTTTTAATGCTATAAAACTTTGAAATATTTGAAGTTATTCCAAAAACCGAATCAGTTAGCGAAATTTTTTTCGAAGCAAGCAAATCAAGTTATAAAACTTCGAAATATTGCAAGTTATTTCGTGGACTTGATCGGTTCGCGAAAATCTTTGAGTTTTTTGAAGCAACCTATAAAATTTTGAAACAATTCGTGGACCAAATCGATTGGCGAAAAAAAAACAGTTTTTCTTAACAAGCTATTCAAGCCACGAAAAATTGAAGTTATTCCGTAGCTCGACGCATTTCGCGAAAAATTTGAGTTTTTTTAAGCAAGCTAATTAAGCGATGAAACTTTGAAAAGTTTCAAGTTCGTTCATAGAACGAATCGGTTTGCGAAAAATTTTCTCAGCAAGCTATTCAAACGATGAGACTTCGAACTGATTCTTGTTATTAATCATAGGGAATTGGTTCGCAAAAAAAATAAGTGTTCTATGCAAGCTAATCAAGTGATGAAGATATTTCAAGTTACCTCAGCGAATCGGTTTAAAAAAGTGGATTTTCTAAGCAAGACAATAACTGTTAAAGCTTGGTTGTTTCAGAGTGAAATGAATCTGTAAACGCAGAATTTTGTGGAAAACCTTGTCTAGCCTTGAAGTTGAATTGAGTTCATATTTTCTCAAAAAAGTTATTAAAAAATTCAGGCATTAAAATGTTGGAAACTTCTGGAAAAATTTTGCCACTAAAAGCCTCATAAACATTGAGTTCGATTGTTGCTCTGAATGATTCTTCAGATTTTTATCTAATTCTTCTGAAACGTCCCGCTCGATAGAAAGGTAAAACATGGCGTATATAGCGCATTCTGAATTTCATTTAATATTTAAGATGTAGAGGGAACATAGTGCTTACTGGACAGCAACCAGATAGTGCTGATTTGAATTATCCGGAAAAAAACGAACAAAATTAAAAATTTCAAACGCGTTTACTGTGATGCAATTTATTTCGTAAAATTTGGAACCAAATTTAACCATAAATGGGTCATGTTGGATTTTTTTAGTTAATCGAGATTTAAGCTACGGCTACCAAGTTAAATAATGGGAAATTTATACCAAAAAAGCTTCTTACTCAACCGCGTTCTGGAAAGTTGAAAACTCTTTAAATCTGTATAAGAGAATATACTATTGGTTGATAGCCAAAACGGTCATTTTTAGTAAATAACATTCAAAATCTTCGCTTAAAAAAGGTTTCGCTCAAATTTTTGGAAAACTTACTCTTGCAGAACATTGTTGAACCGAGTAAGAGGCTACTTTTGGTATCATTTTCTCATCATTTAATTTGGTAGTCTTGGCGTAATTCTTAATTATTTTAAAAAAGCCGAACTGACCTATTATTGGGTGAAATTTTGGTTCCGAATTCCGCAAAATAAATGCACCATGAAATATCTGGTCAAATTCTAAGCAACAATTCCTCTTTTCATTTTTGTCTTATCTTAACAGATTTTGAGTAGAACACGTTAAGTTTTCAATAATGTTCGTATTGTCCGGTTAATTTGAACCAGCACAGTACTCTCGTTATAGTATATTATTAATTTAGTAATTCTATATAATATATTATGCTATAATCTATAAAATTTTTCAAATTATAACCATCTTGAACACTGACACCATTAAAATTTAGAATCTGATAACCGATCAATTTAGAATATATACTTAGAATGATTTTCGCATAATAAAAATCAACATGCCAGACTAAAATGTTTATTATCAATTTTATTATCTAACGTTTATTTCCGTCTCACTGATAAACAAATTGATTTATTTCGTAACTTTTATTTGTTTCACCACAACTAGACTTGCGCATTATGTAATTTACATCTTAATAGCTATTACAAACCTAAAAATATACTTTTGATCCGATTTTTTCTGCAACTTTTTTAAATCATCGATTTCAAAATAATAATGGCCTACTTTTTATTTTTGAATACATGTATATTTAAAATACATGAAAACTGCTACTGCAACGCAAGAGTAGTATTCGTCGCGCTAAAAAAAAACTTCAAAGAAGAGTCTGATCTAGCATATCTAAAGCGAATCAGTAAAGAATGAAATTGAACCATATCGATTTTTTTTCTATCGACGAGCTTTTTGTCTTTCATTTCTTCTAAGGACGAAGGAGGGATTGGATTTTTAAGGCTCGCACACCATGTGCATATAAAATACTGGCATCGTACCGAGAATCTTAAATCGGGAAATATTTTCGTCGCGACTCCCCTGAGGCTAAGTAAATCTCCTAATTTGTCACATTCACTTTCAAATTTTCTTCATTTTAGTCTGGATTATAACAGCTCATTACATGGCGCAAAAACTGGCATTTTGCTACCTCTTTTAGTAATACATCAAAGCTAATAACTCCATGTAAGATTTGAATTTAATTCAATGTAGCTTAGAACAAAATTTCCCTCCTGCCTTTATATATGTATGTACTTGTTTTGGCGAAAAATGACTTGCAAGTTTTTACCGCAACTTTTAATTTCAGTTTTCGCATGATTTTAGAATTCACGTCTAAGTCAAATTCCACTTCTATAACCAATCGACCATTTTTCAGGGGATAAAAGAATGAGAAAGAAAAATGAAAAAAAAATTATGAAAAATGAATTCACATGTGGCAAATTGCCAACTAACTACTTCACATTTCGCTTCCAGATTAGTCTCGTTGTGTGAACAAATGGGACCGCAGAATACAAATATGGAGGTTGAGAAAAGCAGCATGAAAAGTTGAAGAACAAATTTACAAACAATACATTTTTCAAGTGACACACGTCGTTACGGTATGAACAAATAGACAGAGCATGAAGAAAACCAATTTAACGTATTTTGGAGATAGATGAACACCGCAGCTTATATTTTGTAAATAATGTCTATGTACACTAGCGTAGCTATTTAAGGTTGGCTTGGCGTCGTATTTCAAAAGGTTACGAAGAAGCAAATCATATTTCAAAACGTAAATTTCAAAATCCCATA